GCACAGCCTTAAATAACACATCTATCACAATGTTCTCACCCTTTTAGAGTCTTCTTCGTCACGACGACTCTTAATCGATCTATGCAACCAGTGGACCTTTTCGTTGCACTTTCATCTTAGATAAAAAAAAAAAAAAGAAGAAAAAAACCATCGACTACTACTCGTCGAACGTGAACCATCGAGAACGAGCAAACAAGTGGTGTGTTCACGATGAAGAAGGAGAGGCTGATCGAAGAATCGCAAGCTCTCCTCGGAGGTGATCGGAACGCGCGTATACCAGCGAAGACGACTGTTCGCGACTGTCGCGTGGGCGGACTGGCAAGCCTCGTGCTTTCAAAAGGATCGACCAACCGTCGTATAATCGTAAAATGGTCCCGTGCATGGATTGGCCGGGGAAACGTAGGAAAGGCGGCGACCAATGTCCTCTATCTTCGAAAAGAATCTAACCGCCAGTAAAATCGCCGTTACGAAGCATGGATCCTTGCGGCCAATCGACGATTTTGCCTTCGAGGCCTCGGGGGCTCTCGAGAGTCCGCCATGCTGTCCCCGGAGCTTTCCTAATTTAGAGTTTAATTAGCACCTGAGGAACAGGAGAACCGTGCACAGGCATCGATTGGACGGTAACCATCGTGGAAACAGAGAGAAGAAAGACGTCGAACAGAGACGACGATATGTCAGCAGTCAGTCTTCGGATCGTCTTCGCCGACTAGTGTGAAATATCGCGCCCAAGTGTTACGAGCACGGCCACGCGGCCGCGGGGACCGAATAGTCTCACCGAGGAAATAGATTTTCCGTCCTTCTTCCCGTTCTTCTTCGACACTTTTGTCTCCTCTTCCCCCTTTTTTTCTCTCTCTTTTTCCATCCTTGGGAATCGTTAATTCGATTTGGAAATCGAACTAAATTCTATAAGTTGAAAGAAGGGTCTCTTCTTCCTGTTTCCTGTTTCCATTAATTCTTCAATTTCTTCCTTTCATCTTCCTGGTCCTTTCTTTGAGAGTAGTATTTGTATTTGATCGAAAGATAATACAATAGAAAAGATTGTTAGTTTTTTGTGTGAATTGGATTACGGAGGTATAAGGAAGAAATATTATCGTAGAAATCGAAGAAAGTATTTCTTACCTCTTCCGAGTCTCGAGCAGAGAGATCGAAGAACGAATTCTGGGGATCGAAGAGAAGAGAAAATGCAACCAGCTCCGGCTACACCCGGTTCTCCAACACGGTCATCTTGTTGTGAACGAGATCGCGAGCGGGAAGTTCACGAGGATCGTGGAAGAGAGCGGAACAATACTGGAAGACAAAGTCGAATGACTCCGGAGGAAGATCACGAGGAAAGAGGCAACGAAAGGACGGTGATTTCGGGACAGAATCTTGGTGCTATGACTGTTAGCGGAAATCAGGGATTACCTCTTTCATTGTCGCTCGAAGACAGAGATCTGTGGACTAAATTTCAATGTTTGACCAATGAAATGATTGTCACGAAGAATGGAAGGTGAGTGGTGATTGAAAAAACTTGAATAAATTTAAAAAGTTTTGAGGAAAATTTCTGTGAAAAAAATACACATACATGAGATTGTGTAAAGGAAGTAATGATATTGATAAAACGCTTTTCTTTCTATGTAATTGCTAGTCATTGTTGAATCTGATGATTTTATAAAAATTCGATTTTATAATAAAGTGATAAATACTAAAGTGGCAACTGTCAATTTGGAAAAAAACATTGATATATTAAATATGAACGATTTATTGATATGCGTGAGTCATTTACACATTTAAAATAGTGTATCACAGGTTTCACATTTAAGAAACTTGAAAGATTTGTTGGTTGAAAGGTCTGAAGCAAAGATGGCTCTTCTTTGTGCATAAAAATGTATTAATTAGAGCATCAGTGCGAACAAGGCAGAAGGTAAAATAATAGTTCACTAAAATAAAAAGAGAGGGAAAAAAATATCGCTCATAGAATGGAAAAAAGATCATTGCAAAATGTTACGAAAAAAATTTAAATAATCCATGCAATGAATATTTCATGTTTGCTTCAAAAACAGGATAACATTCTTCCCTTGAATTGATTATTGAATTGATTATTCAGTTATCTTTTATACTGATCTAAATTAATAAAGAAAACATGATCAATTACAAATATTTTTCTTTCAGTCAAATTTTATATTCTGCATCAAACTTGATTCTTCATTTTTTTTTCTTTTTTTTTCTATTTGATTCTAATATAATGTTTGATGAATTTTTTTCGGATTTTATTATATCTAAAAATGTTAATATTATCTTAATTATTGAGAGATTATGATAATTGCCACAATAATCAAATATATGTATTATGTTATAATATACACTATTATGTTACAATATACACTCTTCCTTTACATTAAAGAAAAAAATGTTTCAATTCAGAAAATGAAGAACGAGATGAGCAACATCTAGTCAAGGAAATATCTTTAAATGTCTAAGGCCGGCAGATCAAAAGATTTGCCACAGCATATCCTGCCCGACTACTTTTATGATTCGTATATTATTAAAAACGATTACAGTTTGTCGACCGCGTTTTTCATGCAGGAATATCAGTGTTTGTGGGCACACTAGCAGAACCAGGGAGTTTTATGCAGGATTGTGGGCATCGTAAAATTTTATTGTCGGTGTGCCGGCTCGATTCTTCTGCTATCCGCCGCCTTCAGTGTTACTTTCATTAGTGTTTATAAAATTCTCTTCTTTTCGAGACATCTTCTTCGTTATCACTTTACAAAATATATCTTGTGGTAGCTAATACAATCGAAAATTAAATTTAGATAAAGATAAAAAACATGTTGATAAAATCTATATAAAACTATAGGGAACTTATATTCATTTTCGATTTTACTTTCAGACGGATGTTTCCTGTTGTCAAAGTAGTTGCAAGAGGATTAGAGCCGAAAGCTATGTACACTCTTCTTCTTGAATTCGTTCAAGTGGATCCACACAGGTAACAAAGTATATAACTTAAAAGAAGCAGAAAGAAAAAAAATTTTTAATAAATTTATAAAATTATTTTATAAATGTTATAAATGTATAATGTGAAAAATATATATTTGAAAATTTTATTGATAGATGGAAGTACGTTAACGGAGAATGGGTCCCAGGTGGAAAAGCAGAAGTCGCTCCTCCGAATCCAATTTACATCCATCCAGAGAGTCCAAATTTTGGATCTCATTGGATGAAAGAAGCAGTATCGTTTGCTAAAGTGAAATTGACAAACAAATCCAATGGAAACGGGCAAATTATGCTAAATTCATTACATAAATATGAACCTCGAGTGCATTTAGTTCGTGTAGATGCAGTGGAAGAAAGAACGGTATAAATTTCTCCAATTTATAATTTTATACAATACTAATTAGATGTAAACAAATATTAAAATTATTTTGTTAATTAATGCTATTTCGATAATATGTAAATGATATTCAGGTGCTCACCTATCGTTATCCTGAGACACAATTCATAGCGGTGACAGCTTATCAAAATGAAGAAGTTACAAATTTAAAAATTAAATACAATCCTTTTGCGAAGGCGTTTCTTGATGCTAAAGAAAGACCTGCTGATCCACAAACTTATCCGCAATGTAAGTTAACTGAATACAGATTATTAATATTAATTTACAGTTTTATTGAATACATATTATTCATTGGTTATATTGAAAATTATAAATATATTTCAAAAAATGTGGAATTATAAATTACAGACACTGGCGCTTGGTTTTTACCACAACCTACGATGGGATATGAATATAATACAGCCACGGCTATTGCGGCCGCACAAAATCAAGCATCAGTGACAGTCAATAATCATCTTTCTAATTCTTGTACCGTTTCCACAGCTGGTCACAGGAGTACTTGTAGATCAACGCCTTACACTTTGAGACATAAATACATTCAAGATGGTGAATATTTATATTTTTTATTAATTTTATAATTTTTAAAAATTTTTTCTTATTTTTATAAGATATATATTATTCAAAATAAAAAATTTTTTGATCATTACAGAACAACGCGCGGATCCATATAGTTCAGTACAACTTTTGCATTCTACAGCATATGTAGCGCCACCAGGATGGTCGCCACGTAGCCCAGAATCTCTGCAAAATTTAAATCCAACTTGTCTTCCACCTACGCAGGAATGGCCTACATCTCCTTCGCCTTCGCCAACTTCATCTTCGCATGCAGTATTTAGTAGAGGCGTTGTTGGAACAGCATCTCCAACCACAGCTACAGGATGCACTTTATATGTGCCATCAAACCTATCTTCTGTTCCTCAGGAACACAATCATTGTACTGATACTTCAGCTTGGATTCATCCTACTACTCTATCGGAGCAACAACAACAACAACAACAATCTTATTTAAATTTAAATTTACATTTACATCATCAAATGTCATCTTATACATCAGTTCCTCATACAGGGTTACATCATACTTTACACTCAAATGGAACAGATACCGTTCCTCCTGTTGACGAATACGTTCACGAATATCATGCTTCTCCTGTTCAATCAACAACACCCGATCGTCATCCACATCATCATCATTCTCAAATGCTACATTTACAACCAATCCAACAAGCTGGAACAGTTTCTCCTGTTAGTGTCGAATACGATACTCCTTCGAAAGAACATCATATACCTGTTAGTTATTCTGAACAAAATGCAGATACATTAAATGATGTACAATCAGATGAAAATAGAAGATATCTAACAACGGTAATTGATAGACATCATCGACAGGATTCAGATATTGCAAATAATGATCATCAAGCCACTGCTTGGACACCATTGACACCACCGCCGGCACCACAAACTACAGCAATTTGATTTCTGTACATGATACAAATGATTTTATTTAAGATATGGAGTTGCTATTTGATAATTTCTATATTTCTTTTAATAATTAGATGACTAAGTATAAACGAAATCATATTATATTTACAAATGCATTTTGAGTGCAATAGAAATGATATACATAAGTAATTAAAATTATTAATAGATATATAGATATGTTAAAAAACATCATTCATAAAATGAATATTACGAATATATAAGCAATTGAAAAAATATTAAAATAATAAGATTAATGAAATAATTTAATAGATTGTTAAATTATATATTTCGTAATTATTTAATATTATTGTCGAATCCGTCCTAAAATCGTGTTAATGTTTTTAGATAATATACATTAGATATTACAGTAAAATATGCATATACCGTTTCCTCAGAATTAAAAAAAATATTGTAATATCATAAGTTGATTTGTTTATACTTGACATATGATAATTTATTCATAGACAAATATTCATGTATATACATTTCTTAAATAGAAAAGCGTAAAGGCACTTACATTTTCTTAATAATTTTAAAGTTTATATGCAAATATACATTGATAAATATATTATATATACAATAATTAATTCTATAGAATTGTTCATAATCAAAATTCTATAGAACAAAACTCTAATAAATCAATAATTTATATAAGTATATAAAAAAAAATAGTACAACTGAAAAAAATATCTAAATATTCCTCACTTAAAATGATATCCAAAATCCTATAAAATTTGTTTCTACTTGTTATCTTGAATTAACTAGTACAATAACTAGTATAATTCATCATGGCACAATCATATTTCTAATTTTTTCTTTGTAATTTATATTTATAAAAAGAATAATATTTTACTGATATAAATACTTATGTATTATCCAAACCAATGATTACCCATACAATCTCTTGTCCATTCTGTTTGACATACCCAACACCAATGATAACCACATCCTGCTCTAGTGCAAACCATATGCATACATCCTCCTAGAAAATAATTTCATTAGATTAAGAATAGAAAATTTATTAAAATATAATTTTTTTTTAATATTTTTAAACTACCATCTCTTTCAGTTGGTGTTCTACATTTTGGACATGGTTTTGTTGAGATTTTAATAGTTTTTTTACTAGCTTCATCCCATTTTGCCTAAATAAAAAATCGTGAAATATAAATCGAATAATTTTAATTAATAAATAAATGTAAATATAAAAAGTATCGCATACATCATTGACTTTTTGTGGATCAAGTAAATATCCTGATTTATGCAAGGCATTTGATGATTCTGATGGTTGCAATTCACATTCTCCTAAATGGAAGCCTTGTAAACATCGTCTACAAAAAACATACTAGAATATAAAAGTATATTATTAATATTACAATTAAGTAAAATTGTATTATGTAAAATTTTTTATTTATATAATTACCCCACAACCACCAAAACATTGAATTTTTCTGCATTTATCACTACCATCATCTGGAGACTCTGGTATGATACCCATACCACAATCTGGTCTTGGACATAAAAGTCCACCAGCACGTAACACATATTCTTCTGTGCTAAATCTTTGATATTGTTCATACTATATCATATAATATTATTAATATTTAAAGATTATTTGAGATTTATATAAGTACTTTATTTTCTTATATAAGTACCTGTTCTGGAGTAAGAAGATGAAAATGATGTATTTCAGGAACAAATGAATTTGCACATCCTGCTGGACATGGTAGAGTATAATAACCATTAATATCATCAAACTGGAATTGACGTTCTCTTAATCGAATTGAACAATAATCTCTAAAGCAATCAAGACAAGTCACATGACCAGCTTCACATGGAAAAACCAAAACCATATCCCTATAAAAAATCTATATTTAAAACTGTTATAAATTTCTACTCATATGAATATTTCAAATTAATTACCTAACATCAGTACAAGCAAGACAAGGTATTTTTCTTAAGTTTGGTTTTATAAGATAAAGAGGAACTGCTTCATCCTCTTCTCCCAAACTAATATGTTTTCCACACTTAAAATAGAAATGTGCATATAAAACTTGTGATTCTGTATCATCATTAACAATTACAGGTACTGGACAAAAATTATTTTCACAGTGAACTGTTATTCTTCTTGGTTGTAATACATCTGGCCAACATTGAGGATCTCTATCTACTGTAACTGCTCCACTATTACAAGTTGCACATCTTACTCTTAATTTTCCAATTGTCACGGATTTACATGGTGTTGTACAATATACAAAAAAATGAGCTCGATTCTCTTGTTTTTCTATAAATATAAATGCATATCATTTATATAAAGTTATAGTTTTATATTGATAACTGTTTATTTACTATTCATTTCATCTATATGTGTTTACCCTTTAAAAGGCTACGATTATTCTACCTTCCATGGATGAATTTTCTTGCAGATCTGATTCATCTAAAGGTAAATCAGTAAGAGTTTCATTCATTGGCTTTCCACCACTATCATTTAATTCAGAAATTTCAAGAGATTCATCAATGATACTGGTATTTTTATTTTTATTTAGCCTTTGTGATGGAGTTCGAATTGCATGTAATATACTTTGTTGTCCCAAATCACATTCCTACAATACAAAATTTGATTAAATGAGGTTAAATTTGATTAAGTGAGGTTATCATACTTAAATTGTTTATACTTAAATTACTTTAAAAACATGATTATCAGAAAATAATTTTGCAAAACAACTTACTTCTATTATTGTTGAATTATGTAGTTCTTTTCCTGCAAATATTATTTTTATATCCTCAGGTGATGTTCCCATTTGAGAAGCCACTATCTCTTTTACGTTTTTTATATCCCATTTTGGATCCAAGTCAACAGCAAATGTATTTCCCGTATTAGTTTTCACATATATGCTTAATGAATTCGTTATTTTTCGCTTACTAAACCAAATTAATTGTAACATCTTAAGAAATACATTTCGTATAAAGCCAAAAAAGAAACTCATACCGTTAATGCGAATGTCGTTTATTTTGATGTCGCTTTTTAAAGATGAAAAAGGATAGAAAATATCACTGAAAGCACAGTAAATTTAGTGAATATTTTTGATGACATAAACAAAGTATTGGAATTTATAATTTGAAAATGAGGAAAAATCAAATAATAATAGAATGAATTCTGCGACATCTTTAATTATAAATAACTAAAGACAATATAATTTCATTAAAGTTAATATAAAAACTTTTTAAATACATCATAATATATAATATACTCATTTCATATTCATATTTTTTGCAATACAAAAATTATCTTTCGATTTTATTTTTATTTTATTCAAATATTTTTCATTCTGTGAATTATAGAAAAATTTAATTATAATTCTTTTTAAGCAACTAGTATTATATATATTTTATAGTATATTTTTATAGTATATTTTTGTATATAAATTAAGAAATATTAATAGATGATATGATAGAAATAATAAATAGAAATCATTTTTACATAATTTCATTCTTAGTTCGTTTTTCTGAATGCAAACATATTCATATATTTCTTCGAATCATAATTCGAAAATACAATATAAATTTGATTATATAAATATAAATTTGAATATATAATCACAAAAATATAATTTATAAAGAATGAAGAAAAAATGTTTATCTTCATTGCGGAAAAAATATTGAAAATTAAAGATTATCCAGCATTCTATGATACTGAATCTATTTCTAAATAAATATAAATATATAATTTTATATAATAAGTTGAGAATAAGTGAAAAAGAATAAATAAGTTGTTCTTTTAAGAACAATTTATAATTGCTCATTTTGTGTATTTATATTATAATTTACTATTTTTATTGATTTAATCACAGGCTTTTTTCTTGTTTCGTCTAATCTTTGTTTTTTGCAATCTTCTATTCTACCATCCGATTTCTTTTTAATTTCTTTTTCTAATGGAAATATCGTATGTTCAAATTTAGTATCCTTTGAAATTGTAGGTGACATATTATACATTTTTCTTTCCTTTTCAAATAATCGTGATGCAAATCGGCGAACTCTATTTATCCTTTGTAATTCCGAATCTGATACATCTAATATCATTTTTCTAGATTTTTTAGATTTAGGTTGGAAATTTTCAATTATTTTCTTTTTTTCTTTTTCTTTTTCCACTGGGACTACTTCTTAAATTTTCAAGCTTCTGATTAATATTTTGCTGTATCGAAGAAGAAGAACTAGATGTTAGTTCTATTACATGTTCTTTCTGATCTTTACATTTGTGAAGAAATTGATTTAAGGTCATCCCTTTACATTCATTGTCTTCATTTCCGGGGTATTTGTACTGGTCATAAACACGAATCCATTTTTTCGAAGATTTATCCCAATATCCACGCACAGTATCCATTTCTTTATACATTCTATTTGATTTAAAATCTTCCTTTTTTCTTGCTATTTTTTCTTCATATTGCATTTCAAAATTTTTACCTAAAATATACAATACGTGATTGATATACTAGCGTTATACATATATTAATACTTAATATTTAATAATATTAAAACAAAATAAAATTTTAAGATTAATATACTTTTTTCATTCTCATTGCTCATTTTTTTAGGATGTTCCACTGATGACATTTCTGCTCTATAAACAGGTGATTTAAGATATCTACCAATATTCTCATGATTATTTTTAACAAAATTTTCCCAAAGAAAATCACTTTTGGCTGTTGGAACTGATACATCGATCAACCATGATTTACATTTTTCAATTCTTACATCGTTTTTATTTTGTTTCTTATTTCTAACTCCTAAATACGTTTTAATTAAATTTTCTTTTTCTAAAAATACAAATACAATTAGTTACATATTATCTTTTATTTTAAATAAATTTAACATTAATTAATTCTAGAATTAATAATATAATACTATGATTAAAAATAATGAAATACTATAAAAATAAAAGCATAATAATAATACAAAATAATATGAAATATAATAATTAAAAAAATAAATAATTACTTAGAAGTAACTCGTCATCTTCGTTATCAGAATCATTATATTGTATGTAAGACAACGGTAAATCCTTCAAGGGCAATAGTTCATTTTCTTCAAAGTTAATTTTTTCTGGACTTTCGATCTCCCATTTTCGAGGGCGTAAAATCGGTGATTCTAAACGTTCTTCAATAAAATGGGGTGCTTCTCGAATTTTTTCTGGCGATTTTAAATCTCCAAACAAGATATCACTTTCAGATCTTGAAGTAATATTTCTCATTGAAGATTGCCGCGGGACTTCATCACACGTTTCCCAATTTTCATCGGAATGTATTTGTATTATTTTTTCTTTTGATTCTTTTTTTCTTCTTTTTTTTTCTTCTTTTTCTCTGTTTTTCTTCCTTCCGTTTTATTAATATCTTCTATTTTCTGCTTTAATTTCTTTTGCTTTAATTTTGTTTTCTTTTTCTGTTTCTTCTCAATATCTTTAGCTACAATTTCTCTTTTTTTTCTTTCGTACTCGATGAAGAATTAGTATCAACTGCAGATACACTTATGCTATCTGGTTTATTGTTTTACCTAGCACAGGTGTGCTACAAAAATTAAAGCTCTTTTTAGATTGACCATTTATATTGGATTTTCTTTTTAATTTCTCGGATGAAGAAGACATTTTATATCTCTTAAGTCAATGATTTCTTTTCTAATAAGTTCAATATATGATTCATATGTATATCATAATTCTGTTTGAACAACACATTGATAAACTTCCTATATCATCCGGAAGTCTTGCTATTCTATCGAACGAAGGGTTACAAACGCTGATGAATCACGTTCAAAAGGGTATCGATATCGATGAGCTTCCTGTTTCTTTTTTACCTTTAACAGGATAGCATATAAATTTTTTCATATTTTTTAAGAGACAAAACAATTAATTGAATATTTAAAATTACTTGTATAATCGAGTTTTTTTGAATGAAAATTTAGAATTTGCTTGATATTTTTTTATAACTTAATAACTGCAATTTAAAATTTTTTAATTTCATTCGATTAAGATAAACAATTTGATTTTTTATAATTTAACACTTTCCACAAATTCAAAATTCAAGGATTATGAATTTTTTAATTGTTTTTCTTAGTTTTTTTTCTTTTCTTTCTTCTCTTATTTTAAAGTTTAAGAATTCGATAATTTGCATAATTAAAAATTTTCATTTTCTACAATTTATATATTTTAATGATTGTTATAATTTTCGAATTTGGCAATCCTTTAATTCAAAATTTCACTATTTCTTAATCTTCAATAATTCAACAATTCGAATAAATATCTTCCATTTATATATTTTTTATTATTTTATTTGATTACAATAATTTGAATTGAAATGCAAATTTTTATTTTTAATGCTAATTTCAAAATTCCACTTTCAATATTTGTGAATATTAAATATTTCTGACGTGAATGTCAGCACACGACTGAAAACCGTTTCCAATAAAGTCTTCCACGCACAAATTCAACCTATAAATTTTCTATATGTAAATACATTCAACCTATAATAGCCTCAGGAAACAGTTTTTGCTCATAAAGATACTAAGATTTAAGACAATATGTATAAAATAGAATGATTATATGAATATCAATAATGTGTTAATTTTGTATTTAAATAAGAAAGTGTTTATACTTAAATCTTAGATATAAAGTTACCGAAAATGAAAAGATAATTAAATTATCCTCTTAAATAAATATCAATTTTTCTAATTTTCAAAACGATTCATTTTAGATTAATAAATTGTAAAAATCATCATGAAAATTCTTCAAAGGTTATTATTCTATCAAAATAATCGAGTCGATATGAATCAACTTCCGTAAGAAACAAATCACGAAATAAAAATCTGAATAAAGTTTTAAATTTAATAAATTTAAATTATATATAATTTATAATTATATCATAAAAATAAAAGTTTTTTTTCTCTGAAGAAATTAATATATTTTACAAATGTATTTTAGATTTAAAAAATAAATAATAAAAAAAATGTGAAAAATAAACCAAAATGCGCCATTCGCCACGTCACGTTGTTACGGTACTGGTTTCCAAAGGTACCTACTACCCGCCAGCCACGCAGTAGACCGTCAGTGCACGTTGGCTCATCGCACCGGTTGCGTTGTTTTCGTTCCATTAGTTTTGAATTTGACAGTTAACGTCGCAATTTTCGTGTTACGACTTCACTTTTCTTTTTAGTATTATATTCCGTGTGAAACGTTGTCTTGCAACTTCATTTTCTGTACATATATTTGTTCGATTCGAGTATTAAACAGATCGATTGGTCGTATATCGCAAAATCGATATCGTAAAGGTTAATAACAAGAGATCGAAGGGTGAAACGATCGCAATGCCGGCAGACGCGGAGCTCAGTAATCTGCTTAGCAGGAGGCAAAGGATCAACGACGAGCTTGAAGAAGGGAAAGATGTGAAAAAGCAATACAAATTCGTGAACGTTTATACCGAATTCCACGAGTTATCCCGTCGTGAGATCAAGCAGTATGAGCAGACCTTCAACAGGTGAGGACCTTCCGTTTCTTTCTTCTCTTACCCATTTAAAATTTTTCCCATGGATCGTGAATAGAAAAAGCCGAAAAAATTTTGTCATTCATCGTCACTCTGAATATAATTCTTAGAAACGAATATCTGGACCTATATTTTTTTCCACTAAGGATCTATTTTCATGGAATTTTTGTGCGTATTAAAGTTTATATATTGTTAGGTCTATATGTTTGTATACGCAGATTAGATATTGAATGTTAGATATATATATATATATTTTATGTGAATTTTATAATATCAATCATATAATGTATATTAAATTTAAAAAAAAAATAATGTAAAATGTTAGAATATGGCTGATTTATTATTTTTTTATTAATCAGATTTTCATTGACAATAATAATAATAATAAAGATTAAATGAAAAATTTTAAAAAAAGGCGATTAAAAATATAACTACATTAAAATAAATCCAGTACGTATTATTACATAAAATCTATATAAAAATGCGATAAGAAACTCATGTTTAAAGAATAGTTTCCAATAGATATATATTTTGTAGTGATGTCTATAATATGTGTAGTGGATACATACAAAATATATTTTGAATTGAAATACATACATATATAGTTGCTTTATTCAGCCATGTTTGATTTCTTATTATTAGAGCCAATAATAAATGGCTATTTGATTCAATAAATTAATATCGAAATAAAAATTTATGCGATTAATTGACAATTAAAATTGGTTGAATATAATATTATCAGTATTGTTCAAAAAATTTTGTTCTTTTTCATTCTTGATAAAAAATTGCGAGATAAAACGCAAAGGAAATCGAGAGTGAATCACGACTTTTGTCGCGTTTACTGTGGTTTTCCTGTTTGTTTGTGTTTACTCTCTCAAGTTTACGTTACTCCCTACAGAAAGATCATGTTCCTTTGGTCAGATATTTACTTTTTACGTATGAGAATATACAAAATAATACGCAAGATATCAGTTGTAATATAATATAACCTATTTGATTACATTTGGTATTTTGCTTTGATTAATCGTTAAAACACTTCTGTTTATTAATGTATATTTTATTTTTAGCTTACAATTTAATGTACAAAACTTTAAGCATAATATATGTAAAATTTTGAGAGTATGAAGATATTATATTATGAAGATATTGTTTGGAGCATTCGTTTGTAAAAATTGATTCGAAATACATATAAGTACATTCTAATTCCACGATTGATATTTGTTCATACAATGATCTTCGGAAAAAAAAAAAAAAAAGAAAGAAAAATTGAAATTGAGACGTTACGAAATCGCACGTAACAAAATTGGTGATATTAATAATTTTGTAGTAATGATAAAGAAAAGAATCTTCTCCATGAGTTTGTATAACCGTATTGGAGGCCAGAACAGACGACCTCGAGGTCTGTCCTCTGTCTCTCTTGTTCTTCTTATAGGTATTTCGGAGTCAACCGGACAGCAGGTTTGACAAGGCAGAAGGCAGGGTGGACGACCACTTGTGGTGCATCCTCGAAAGCCTTGTGTACGATTATTTCGCGGTTTAGCTACAAAATTTCAGCAATGCAATTATTATTATTTAATCATTATGACTGCTGAAGTTATCATGATGAAATAAGAAGCGCATTTCCTCACGTTTTTTATTGATTGAAGTAGTGTTAAATAATTAAAAAAATATTAATTGGAGAGAACGAATTATGTCGACATTTTTAATTCATTAATATTTGTTAAATAACAATTTTACAGTTACATGAATTATCATGAATTTTATTTTGAAATTATTAAAGAAATTTATAAAGATTTCTCTATAAAGAAGATCAATGATTCCCAAATGAAAATTTTTTCACTCAAACAGTTTATAGATTATAGTAAGTATTAAAATTTTGTATAATTATATAATTTTAATTTCTATCTTATATCTTTTTTATGTAAATGATAAATTATTATAAATTATCATAAAAATTAATAGAAACATATTATATATCACCATCTTACTTTTTTCAATCTCATTACCAAATATATATATGCAAATTCATTTTTATATGAATGCAAAACAAAAATGAAATTTAAGATCATATTTTTTAAATATAATAATACATATTTTAAATATGTCAACATATTATATGTATCTATATATTTTTGCATAATTGAATTTACTAAATCTTATTATTTTTGATATGAACCGCATATAGTACATTATATCAGCAACAAAAATAGCTGAACTGCATTCCTCACAGCATAAACGCTGATAAAACAAACGTCATTCAATTATTTATACGAGATCCGAGTCGATGTATCCGGTACAAAATTTCACCGTGAAACATAAGCACGTGGATGAGGTATCGTACACACGATGGATGATACCTCAACCGGAAAGACTCTGCAACGCTATCACCATCCAAGGAGTTGTCCTTGTCTTTAGAGAAACCAGTAAGTACATATCTACTTTTCCTCGCTTGTTTCTTGGTCTCGCCGATCTTACCATGGCCAAACAACTTTTTTCCTCTCGATGAAATTGCAGCATTGAATTTTACTGCATAGCTGGATGGAAGAATAGTTCGAGTCCTAATTCTATTAAATTCTCCAGTCTCTAGAGAGTGTAATGGTGCTTTTGTTTTTAGCTTACGAGGTCTTGAAATGAATTGTTCGTCTTTTGAAAGGAGTAAAGTGAATGTGGAATGAATCTTGTGTGCTTTTAGAAACTTGTAAGAAGAATCAGATGCAAGGTCTTTATTGATTTTAAAATCTAATGAACAGTTTATGAGAATTTTATACAGAGAATTTTCAATCGCGCAATATTGAACAAATTAAAGAAAATGAGCTATAAAAAGATGGACGAAGGAGTTGTATTTGAAGATCATCAAGATTCTAGGCTCTGATGAGAATTTCGTAAGAATTTTGTACAATTTCTTATGCTGAAAAGCTGATTTATATTTCTTCTACAGTTCTATAGTGAAAAAACTTTTATTATGGCGCTCCTGTTATATCTTGAATTATATCTTGAATATTCAAATAAAATAAAAAAATTGCTTCGATATCTGTGATATTTATGACATTTCAATATTTTTAAAGATAAATGAAATGAAGGAAAATGATAAATGATTTATCAGAAGAAAACAATTTTATTTGAAAGTTGTTCTAAAAATTCATCTATTTATGAAAAAGAGACATCCTCTCAGAAAAGGGATATATACAATATATCCTTATAATCTAGTTTCCAACTTTTGGATCAATAGTATCGTTAAAAGTTTTAACGTTTTCCTCCTTAACAATTATTGATAAAAAGAGTTTCGGTGTTTCAGAGATAAAAATTTATTATATCGATTTTCATACGACTTCCATGGAAAGAAATTGAAATAAAAAATTTTTTTTTTCAATTGAAGCATCTTTTGTAAAAAAGATGTAATAAAATAACAATCGATTCTTCAAAGAATATTAACAATGTTTATTGATCGATTCTATGGATTTTATTGAAAATGTAATTACTATTCCAATCGTATTTTCTGTTTAGAAGTAGAATTTCAATCATCAACGCTATGCAAGTACTACTCACCTTACCATCCCACATGTGAGTGCAATTTAATCTCATAGTCGTAAATATTCTGTAAAGAAATAATAATCATTTTTAATAGCCACTCAAACTACTTAAAAACACATACTTATAAGCACTTTTTGTCTTAGGTTATAATGTCGAGCACGTATACTAAAATGATCAAAGGATGTTTTTTTATTCTCTTTTTTTCTTCCTTCTTTTCTGATAAGTATTATACAGTTTAAATTTTTTTTATTTTATAATAATTAAAAATTATATACTTAATATATTATACTTATATACTTTAATTTCAATTTATCTTAAATTACAGTTAAACAATTTCTCAAGATATTAATACAGAAGAAAAATCAAGTTTCGTTGATATATATATACAATGTATACATAACTTTCATTTGCGTTTTCTGAATTGAGAACGGTTCATTATGTTCATAAATATATGTTCAATTCAATACCGCATTTCATTTAAAAATTTATCAAGTGAATTAAATGCGAATGACAAGCTCGGCAACGTGATAAATGAATCAGAATCGCATGTATACATTACACTACTTAGACGCGTGTGAATCAAAGCGTTACGTAGGTTACGTATGTTTTACCTATAGTTAGTCACTAGATGAATTCACTGTGCATGTTCCCCTCGATCACTTCCTGTATAGCGCGACGTAACCTCTGTCGCATATGAAATTTGGAAACGGCCAGGCTTTGAACGTGTCCACCATGAAAAATAATTTCCTTGTACCGTGTATACAAGAGGAATACAAGCTGGAACAATGTAATGAATACGTTATATCGTGTTTTATACCGGTTTTGAAGACATGTACAATTGTTCTATAAAAAAGACAAAGAAAAAGAGAGATTGGTCATCATATAGCACGCAGGCGGAATATGTATACCTCTGACGCATGTAATTTAGTGGCAACAAATGTTCAATAAATCTGTCTCTTGCTTCTCGAATGGTTGGCCATCTGTAATTTATTGTCGGCCAATATCAGCTGCTTTGTATAGTCTAACAATCGACTTGTTTAATCGTCGATTTATTAATAGTCATTGCTTTGGAAATTCTTGAAAGTCACGAGGTAAGAGTAGATTTCTTTCGATTTAATTCGTAAGTTGATTGTTTTTAGTTTGAAAGTATAGATGAGGTATAGATAGATAGTGAAGAATAAATGCATACTTCAGAAGAAAAATTTGTTTGGAAGAGATGATGATAACATTTTAATGTTTATGAAAATATTAGAATTTATTGATAATATTAGAACACGTTGTTAAATGAAGTTAGAAAGAATATTATACATATGAGACTGATAATGAAAACTGATCATCCAACAAAAATAAACAGCTATGAGATATTCTTCAAACAGATAACCAACTAGCATTATGAATGACAAATAATGACACATTAGCGACATGACATTAAGTAGCTGCCACACAACCAACTACAACATTTACAATTTAAAAGCGGAAGTAATTTATCGTGGCATATATTATTGTTCTATGACGCTAATATTCAATAATATTATGTGCCATATGTGATCATTATCAAACGATCAAACGTCATTATAATTTATATTGTGTATATGAAAATGATCATATAGTAATTGCCACGTTTATTTAATTATAATTATCTCACGTTTGAATATTTTCATGACTTTCTTTGAAATCACTGTGAAAAGATAGAATTAAAAGAAAAAATTAATCCTTTGGTAAAAGACTGAATCAAAGAAAGCATAATTACTATTTAAATATTAAATAAAATACAAGATTTACATTCATATGGTACTTTTTACTCAGAATTATTTTTCAAGTAATTTCTCAAAGTCTTTTTACATTCTAATATATCCTGTATTCGATACATAGTTAATTAACTATAAATAATTCATTATAAATAATTGTGAAAGTAAAACAAATATCTAATTCTCGTGGAAAGATGATTTCTAGATATTAAGCAAGGAATAAAAATACATAACGATGAAATATCGAGAAAACCAATGTAATGAAAAATGATCAAGTAATATTTATCACGCTTGAGTGACTATAAATACGTATATCTCACTTTTGTATCAGATTTGATATAAAGATTCATTGACATTTGATAGTAAACGTGTACTTTGTCATTTTCTCTTGGATGCAGCCATATAGATTGCAATTATCTTCTCACTAGTTCCGGTTTCAATAGCTATCTAACCTCATTTTACTTCAAATTTCTATTATCCTATAAATAATTTTAAGAAGGATAATTTTTTATTAATTAAAAAAGATTTTATTGTAAGAAAATGAATTATTTCATGATAAAAGTAATAAAAATTTCAATTTAATTTCATATTTTCAAATTAACCATAGAAGTTAAATTATATGAAACTTTCAATGTTTGTAATTTAACAAAATAATATCATTAACAGATATAGCATGAAACGTTAAATGAAATTAGTCAAATTAATAATATCTATTTATAGCCCCCCATTTCTTATTCCAAATACTGGTGGAAAATATTTCTCACGCATTAAGATATATTTAAAATCATTTAATAACAATTTGAAAATGACGATTAGGCTAAAGAAGTCATTAAAAATCTGGAAATTTCATCAAACATGTATGATGTATCAGTATTTACGTGAAATTTCCATCGTTAGAAATGGCTGGGTGGACAGGTGTAATTACATCCAAACGGATAGAACAGTTTTCTGAAACACTATCTAAAATACTTAGAAATCGCGTTGTGAAATTCGCGGATACCGAACGACCTTTTACTTTTACACGACAAAGAAACCGCGATACTGCCTGTTATTCGCCTCGATTGCGGTTCAAATCGAACTATATTTTTTGCACTGCGTAAAGAAAGATAATCTTTTTTGCGGTTCGATGGTTTGGTGTATTCGACATTTCATCCCAACCAGAGATACTTGGTTAAATTATGATATTAGATCGATGTACATTGCTGCAATTTTATCATTGGAATATGTTTGAAAATATGAAATTAAAAAGTGAAAAGTTGCTTTTAAATGTTATTTTTTGTTAATGGATATTGAGAGCAAAAATTATTCTCGAATAGTCATTCTCAAAATGTTCATTTGCAAAAAATGATTCAAAAGAGAAGAATTTTCATGTAGAATATTGCAAACATTATGATTCATTTATTATAAGTCGAGTAAATCTTAATTATATATCGTATTTTCTTCATTTTCTCGTAGGATGTAATCGATTGGTAATTTCCACCGTGTAAAAGTTGGGATTCATGTGTTATCAGAAGAAATAGGTTCGTACGGAATGCGGTTCCAAGTTTGGTGAACTTGTTGTACAACGAGGATCGAACCGTTACTTCAAAACCATTCGCAACAATCATGCGTACTGAATACATAAACAGTGTTAGATATTTATTCGACGACACGACCATGAAGATATTTCATATCGATCAGGTTCGATGCTTTTATGGTTAGTGAAACAATGTTGGATATTTGCGTCAAGAATGGAATCATGTTAACCTAATTTTTTTTCCTTTGTAAAGTAGATATTATTATTAGGTGGATATTATTGGATGGATGAAGATTGATCGGTATTCTGTGATCGTTATATTGTTTGCGTTGCATTTTATTTTTTTTTTTTTTAAAAACTTATTCCATTTTTAAAACAACTTTTTGTAGTTGTATCAGTACGATTACAAATTTAAAAAATTCTTAAAAATTGAAACAAAGACTTGTTAACTCGTAACAATACGTGTATTTAAGTATATATTTATGTATTAGTGTTAATTTAGAGGTGCTGTTCAATGTTGCTATTGTCTTCATATAGAGACCTGTACCCGAACAGTTGGTTATTATTGTACCCTTCAGCCGGATTTAAGGGTGTTTCTCAGAGTCAGCGAAAATCAAGTGCATTTCTAACGCACGAGACCATCGTGTTAAGTATCATGCACAATAAAACCGTTTCGTCGACTTTTTCATTCTTATTCAATAGTCATGCTCAATTGCACTTTTCTTTATACCGTTCCTCTTTTGTCACACTCTCGGTCGCATAATCTTCATCATACACCACTCTGGATGCATACGTTGCACGCTTAATACTTTGTATGCCGGTTACGATTTTGAGCTGTTCAAATTGTGAGATTTGAATTATCTCAGAAGTTTCAGAAGTGATTTATTTCATCTGCATTTGAATATGCAATATGAGTATGATGCATTTTTATCTTGATTTTCTAATTTTTCTAAAAAATAATTTTTAGGAAACTTTAATTGTTTACAATCAGTCACAAAAATCTTCATCTATGCTACAGCAATTTTTACTAAATTTATAATTTTATTTTAATTTTATTACAAAATTTATATTCAAAATTATTATATCTAATAAATAATTAATAAATAGACTGCGAATGTATAAACATTCACAGTCTATCAATGAAATTGATCAATAAATTTTAAATACTAAAAAAAAAATTGTTTTCAAAGGGTTAATTAAGTCGATAAAAAACAAAGCACATTTGCAACTTTTTGGCGATCATGGATGAGAAATCGAGTAGTTGGAAAACAACGTTCCAGTGCGCAGAACAACGATGACGTCTTTCTAAATACAAAAGAAGAATCTCTACTGCATCGATCTTGGAAAGAATGGTAGTAGAAGGGTGAGAGGAAACATATCAGGCAAAGTACCGACAGTCACCTTGACCCAGTTCCCTCTGGGATAGTCTTGGGAAACAACCAGGAACGAATCGAGCACGACCAATAATGCAAGAATTGATTTTGCGATAACAATACTTGACTACTGTATATAGTCACAGAATAACTGGCCTGATTTTAAATGGTTCACGTGATGATTTTTTTTTTAAAAAACTGAGGCTAAAAAAAGAAAAGAAAAATATCGATATACCAGTAATATCATGAAAATTGAATTTATTTTTTGCGTCTTTTTCAAATTTCTTGATAAAACTGTAATAAATGAAGTGTCAAGGACAGAGATAAAATTTTAATGGATCGAAAGATCGAGCATGGAATAAAAGTCACAAGTTGAAGAAATCGTTTCGCATCTAGCTTGAGAAATTTATAATATTGAATTGAAAGTAAATCATTGCTTTCTTTCGATTATATTAATTAGCCGTGATGTGAATTTTATTTTATCAAAGAATATTTAATATTTATCAAAATATTATTCTCTTATAGATTGAATAGATATAATAACTAGCTTGCATTAATATAAATTGAATAAGAATGATAGAAGACTTAGGAAGAAATTATTCTATTATAAAGTTTTATAATTAAGTTACGTGATAATATACTTATAGATAATTATACTTACATAGAAATATTAACAATTATTTTATAATTATTAATTCATAGAAAAATTTAATCGGCAAATTAATCAGCATTATGCATAAAGAAAATATATTCCAAAAATGCCAAATATTTATTAAAACTACTTGACTGACTAAATTGAAATTAGTATTCATTATTATCATTCGAATAATTTCGCTTCTTTGATCACATGAATCGAACGTCGAATCGTTGAAAGATCACATTTCACCATAACGTTGTTATAAGTCCTTCAAACGAGACGTTCACATCGATATTCGTGGATTAAACAAGCTTATCAATTCAATATTCAAATTGGCTGTGAAATCGCGAATGAATCACGTATAAAAGGAGAGATAGATCGAGTTCACCAGATATATATATATATATATATATATATGTACCTATACTCGTCTCCCACTCATATTGATCAGAGCCGTTTGACCGTGCTTATAAACGTGTAACCTCGACCTTCAGACGATTCTTTCTCTCCACTTCGGCCAAAAAGAGCTTCTTCAAGTTTATACTTAAATAAGTAACCAAGTTTTACTTATACAATATGTTTGAAGGAAACAAACTTTGCGATAAGAAAACAATTAATATATAAAAATCATTAAATAATTCAGGAATACATATAATAATTAAAATGTTTGAAAAAAATTACAACAAAGAAAAATTGTTTTGAAAAAAAAATGATTTAAACATTTATTTATTGAAAAGTATTTTTACTTAAGAACTTTATTAATAATTATTAATTGTTAATTTTAATATTTCAATAATATTTTTCAAATTTACATAAATATTGAATTTCAAATTATCGTTTTTAGATAACCGTTAAGTATTATTTTTCCTACGTATCATCCGCAACATATCATCCGACTGCAAATTAACGTATGTTAATCACATACAATTATCGAGC